TACTCATATGTTAGAAATGTAATGCCCGTGTAGAAAGCTGAAAGGAAAAGTTTCACAAATCGAGGCAGCTACCAGTAACCGAGTGACCTGTGGACAGTCTTCCGTCTTGGTGAGGCTCCCTGCCCGGTGAGGAGGCGAAGCGAAACGAGATAACGACCGCGATCCGGACACCGCCTCAAGTCGCGACACTTCGCGAGACGCCGTGCACACATCCAGGAGACACCATGAAACACCCAACCGCACACGCCGATCCGGGGACCGCTTGCAACGACCGGGACAACGCGGATTGGAACACCAAGCGAGACCACGCCGATGCGTGGAAACAGACCGCATGCCTTCTGTCATGTCCCGCCATCAGGGTAGTTATGTGGAACTTAAGTAGCCCCAAGAAGCAAAGCAGGATTTCCTATGGCGAATCGTCAACTCTGTGAATTGCATGGTCAGCTTCACACCCGAGCTCCGCTTCTTGAGCCAGTCCCTCCTCTTCCCAAGCATCTTCCTGCTGGTGCCCACGGCGACGCACGTGGTCTACGTCCGCTGCTGGCGGCAAGGCAAGGTTGCAAAGGTTCAGGGCGCACTTTTCTCTGAAAAATAAGGGGGCCCAAAGCCCTGAGCCCAAAAATGCCCAAGCCGGAGGCCAGACGCAGCAGTTCCACCTGCTTCGGAAGACGCTGGGCAGCTTGTCCGTGCTCTTCTTCATCCCAGCCTTATCCTCGCTCCTTGCGCCCTTCCGCTGCGACGTGCACCCGAGCGATGCGCGGACGATGCAGGCTCCGGGGCCGATGGAAGGAATTGACCCGCCCGTTTTTCACAGGTGCGTGGATGTGCCTGCGCGTGCATGTGTGTGTGTGTGTGACTTCATAGGATTGCAAGTAGGTTTATGTCTGCCTCCAGTAGATGTTTTGCAATGCCACGCCAGCTACTTTTACCGGCACAGGCTTAGGCAACTACGTGTTAGTGACTGTTCGTGCCGTGTAGACTTTACATGAATGCAAGACTGCACACACGCCAGATTCAATCCGAAGCCAGCCATGTGCGTGGTATGTATTATGCCATGAACTTCCATGTTTGTGCTTGTAAAGTGAGACCCGTTCGACCGTTTCTTGTCTTGAGGTCTACGAGTCTGTGGAGTGCGACTTTTCCGGGAGCCACCTGCGCATGTGTCTGATGGGAGGTGTGGTGAGCCTCTGTTTGCTATCCTTCCTTGTCTTCGTTTTCTGGCTGGTCTACGTGGAGCTGCCAAAGAGACTTGAAGCCTTCGATGTGGATTTTCTACGTAGCTGCTCCTTTCTGTGGGCACGCTTTCGGCCTGGGTCGGAGGCTTTCGCATTGTTCTTCCTTGTTCGGAATGCAGTAATCGTCGTCTCACCGCTGCTGCCCTCATCATTCTCAAGCCTCTTTTTCATCAAGTTCGTGCTTTACATCAGTTTTTGCGCGATCGCGTTTTTCAAGCCACTTCGAACGACGGCTACGCTCTACCTGGAACTGGTCATTCATGTCGGCTTCATGGTGATCCTGGATATGGGCATGCTCTTCATGCCGCAAGAGGACACTTCTTTCGTGATGGTCGCTTGCATGTTGGTAAGCCTGCTCGTGCTATTGGTGATTTTGTTGATGGTGGCCCAAGCCGTTTTCCAGAAGTGCCGCTCGACGTATCGCAAGCAGTTTCACTTCTTCATCAGCCATCAGAAACTGGGCTTTGGAGTACCATACTTTAATTCTTTTTTTTGGGACCTGTTCCTTAAAGGAACAATTACGAAATAAAAGTCTATACTTTTTCTCCCTGGTTACTTCAAAGCCCAGGAAAAGTGCTGCAGGCAGCTTGGCAAGGCTCTTCAAGATAGAGCTCAGCAAGTGTGGCTTCCGCTGCTTCATTGATTGCGATGACCTTACGGATTTGACGAGGCTTTTTTCGTACGTGAGCCAAGATGTGGAGACACTTGCAGTCTTGGCTTCCGGGGATTTTCTGACCAGAAAGTGGTGTGTCGGCGAGCTCGTGACTGCGCGGCTTCACAGTGTGAACCTTGAGCCCAGAACAGCTGTTTTCGAGCACTGAAGCGCATTCACCTACTGAAACACATGCACCCACCTTGCCTAGAAGTCTAGGCCAGTATAGGCCAGGATGAATTGTTGCCTGCGCCCTGAACCCTAAGCCCTAACCCCTAAACCCTGGCACTGGCCGAGACAGAGCTTCGAACAACCTTATAGGCGTTCAACCAAAAGAAGGAGCCTTAAACTCAAAGCCCTAAACCCTAAACCCTAAACCCTAAACCCTAAACTCAAATTTCTCAGGAAGACTATGCTGGTTGCTCTGCCGGATTTCACGATGCCCGACGAGCGTTTCGTTGCATCGTACACCAGCCTGGCCCCGAAGATCAAGGACTGCTCAAAGTTTGGCGTTCAAGGATGCTTGAGGTTTTAGGGTTTAGGGTTTAGGGTTTAGGGTTTAGGGTTTAGGGTTTAGGGTTTAGGGTTTAGGGTTTAGGGTTTAGGGTGTAAGGTCTCCACCATCAGTTTTGGACGTCGGAAGGCCCTAAATCGCGGACCGTGGATGCGAAAGGCACAGACCTGACATGACCTCAACCTCAACTGTGGCACAGAAACGATACCCAGAATATACTATCCCACCTCTACCTACCTACTCAGCCCCCGTTTTTTGCTTTTCCCTGCCAGGAGCTTGCAGTTTATGGCATCGGCATGGCAGAGATTCACGAGACGTTGCTTTGGCTGGGGACGCTGGAAAAGTTTGACCTCCAATGGTTGGGCAACGATCCCATTCCCGAGGTCGCGTGGAGGACTTGTTGGTCTAGGGTTTGGGGTTTAGGGTTTAGGGTTTAGGGTTTAGGGTTTAGGGTTTAGGGGGGGTTTTGGGGTTGAGGCGACTTATTCAGGCGAGTGCACAAGTCCTGATGCAAAAGAGGCGGCTTATTGCTTCAAAGAGTTTGCAGGACCTCCATAGAACCATTCCCGGCAAAGGGAAGGTGGAAAGAAACCCAGGATTTGAAACCCCAAACCCTAAGCCCTAAACCCTAAACCTGGGACTCAGTGAAGGTGGTGTCATGGCTGACGGGAATGCGCGGACACAGCCCCAGGCGGCTGCTGCTGACCAAGAATCCATCAGCCTCCACAGATTTATCTGTGACCCGGGTGGTGTCGAACATGTCCGAGTGTTTCTGGATCTATGTCTATCAGTTGGAGCGTTGGGGGCATAGTCAAACCCTAAAGCCCCTGGACCCCCAAACCGTAGCTTACGAGGTTAACCTCTGACGCTACCAATGGAAATTGAAGGCCACTCAGTCAGTGCACAAACCCTAGACTTTAAACCCTAAACTAAGGCTTGATCCTCTGCGACACCACGAACATGGAGGCCAGCTTGCAGGGATGGGTCCCTCTAGGCAGTGGGAGGCATTGGTTAGTGCTGTTTTGGAGGCTATGGCAGCCGCCCATGTGCTCTACGCACTGCTGGGCGTGAAGATGATGGAGCTTTCGATGAAGACGATGCTCCGGATCTTGCTGGGAGAGGATGAAGTTTTTGGGTCGGCGCGGAGTCAAGTGCTGTTCCTCTGCACGGCAGGGTGTTTGGAGGTGAAGCAGGTGGCCTCCTGTCTCGTGCAGCTGAACCTGGAGTCCAGCTGGATCCTTCCGGTGCTTGCGGAGGATTCGTTTCAGATCCCAACTTTCCACGAATCCAAGCTGAGCTACGACATCGAGGGCGTGGATATGGAGCGCTACAATTACATATGTGAGGCCGCCTTCCACGAAATCTCGGTGCCCTTCACCCCCAGGAGCAAGGGGTCTTTGTCCTCAGCCCGGCCTAAGCATACTAAAGCCTAAACGCCTGAATCCCAAACAGGAGCTCCAATGCACGGCAGCTCGACCTCCAGGCCAAAATCATAGCCGAGCGCCTCACGCACAGCCACCATGCTCTCCGCACCAAGCATACCACCTCCTCCCGGGACCTGGCAGGCAGCGTATGCCTGGAGAGCATGGAAACACCGCGAGAAGCGAGAGAGAGAGAGTGAGAGAGATTGATGGGGTTGCACTGACGCGTGGGCTAGGGGGCCTGCCCCTAGCTGTAAGCCCTGGCAAAGCAAAGCAATGTGTGTGTGTGTGCCTGTTTGAGCTTGTGTCCTTTTGCAGGCTATCTGGCTTCGCCCATGACCAGCTCCGGTGACGCGCTCCATGATCTGTGCGACGACGTCCTGTCGCCCCTCAGCCCTATGTCGCCCGTGCCCACCACTCCTGCCGAAGAGTCAGAGGCAGCCACTCCTGCGGAAGAGGTTTATCTGGAGCTCTGAGCGAAGCATTGGCTTCCGAGTGAGTCTGCTGGATCAAGGAAGGGCGTTTTGCAGTTTTACCCCGTTCTGGGTTTCCATGATCTTTGTATTCCTTCTAGGCAATCTGCGGCTCATGCCGAAATTCTTTCCAATCGGAGCAACCAATCGCAGTCCTGGTCGGCTAAGCCTCCAAAGCAAAAATGGGCAGACTGGGTTTTGGCGATCCAACCCTAAACCCCACTCACAACTGGGACAAACCCTAAACCCAAAACCCAAACCCTAGACCCTAAAGCCTAAACCCTAAACCCTAAACCCTAAACCCTAAGTCTTGAGACCATTGCCCAAGCAGAGCTCCGAACGACCATATCTGCTGCTCTCTGGACGTTTCGGCTTCAAGCGTCTTCCAGCTTAGGCCGCAGGTTTGCAAACCTGCGCATATACTTATATGTAAGTATATATATATATATAGCTATATGTAAGTATATAGTATATGTTATTATACATATATATAGAACGCAAGTTCAAAATGACTTGCATTCGACCTGACTACGTCGCAACACTGCTTTGGCTTATGCAGTCTTGTTCCCTAAGCCGGTATCAGTTTCAGTTTACCCACATACGGGACATAATTGGTCAATCCATGAATGTTTGTCCAGTCTGCCAGCCGACACGTTTTGTACTCTAGACTTAGCGACGCTGCATGGATGCGGCGTTGTTTGACCCATGGAGGCTGGCAGAAGACTGAGTGTGGAGTTCTGCGCCTCCTCAGTTGTAGCCCGAGAGGTGGAAAGACCTTCGCGTGCTCGACAAGGCTACTGTCAGGGATTCGGGGTGATCACATGCTGGCCACAGTGGATGCCACCTTGCGGAGTTTTGGCTTGAAGCCTTCCGTCGGCTGCAGGTGGCAAGGCAGCAGCCTGGGCTGCTGCTGTGGTGCTGTTGTTCTTTGACGGCGTCGGCGAAGGCTTCGGAGGCTACTCTCGGTGTCATGGGGAGATGCTGTGAGCGGTGTGCACAGAATTGATTTTCCAGTGGGCTTAAATCAACTGGAACCCGTTGGCCTTGTAATCAAGCTGATGCTTCAGCCGAGTGCGAAGTTCATGCCGAAGTACGCATGCAATGACCTGTCGTGCACGCAATTGCTTGGCCCTGATAGGACTAGTGCTTCCAGCAACTTGGATGGCATGTGTTGGGGAAGGCTCGAAGCAATTCTTTTTCGTCAGTTGCAATCGAGTAGTATCAGTGTGGTGGCAACCAAAGCGATGGCATGTCCACACATCCAGCAAGAACCAGTCTGAGCAGTGACACCATGTTGCCTCGTCAGATGTGGTCGTAAACCTGCCATGCTCCTGAATGTAGTCATAGTCCGAGCATGGTGCTTGTGCTCCCGTCATCTCCTGTTGCTGCACCACAACCACAGCAGCTACAAACTACAACAACGACGAATGCTACTACCTATCACTACAACTTCACTACCGCTTCACTACCCACTTCACTACCACTTCACCAGCACCATTACTGCCACGACTACCATTACTGTACCACTACCATTACCACGACCACTGCCACTACCACTGCCACGACGGCTGCGACGAGAACTAGTGATGGCTCTACTGCTACCACTGCTACTACTACTACTACTAATAATAATAACTACTACTACTACTACTACTACTACTACTACTACCAGTACTACTATTACTGCTGCAACTACTACTACTACTACTCCTCCTCCTCCTACTACTATTACTACTACTACTACTACTACTACTACTACTACTACTTCTGCTGCTACTACTGCTCCTGCTGCTGCTATTGGTACTCGTGCTGGTGCTCCTGCTCCTGCTCCGCTCGCTCCTGCTGCTGCTGCTGCTACTGCTGCTACTGCTGCCGCTGCTACTGCTGCTCTGCTGCTTTACTTCTGCCGCCACAGCTGCTACTACGACTACTTCGCCGCAACTGCTCCTTTCTCAGCCTTCAAGAAGGCAGCATATGAACACAGTCGTTGCAGCAATGGCGCAAGCGAGTTGTAGACTCGCGGAACAGGTGCGTCCCAGCATCGAAGATATGAGAACATGTTATGCTTGTCAGGATTTGGCGGTCATTGGCTATGCTGGATATGATGCCTGTGCAGGTGCAGGTGGCGAGTGCCTGCAGCGGGGATGTGTTTTGGCCATGCAGCCGTTGTCTGTCAGCCGTCCCTTTCCGAGATAAACTGACAACACGAACAGGAAAGGGATCGAAAGCCTGCGACGATGCCATTGCTGCAGTCACCTCGACGGGTGTTACGCCAGAAGCCTAGCAAAAATGCAAGGATTGTGTCAGTCTGTTTGTGTGTGTGTGTAGCACGAAGCGGGCTCATATACACTCGTGGAACACTGAGGGTCCAGATGGCTGCTTCAATTCTGCCTCTTCGGCCATTCCAAAAGTTGTCTTCTTTTAGGATCATCAGTTCTTCAGGTCAGACCAGGTCTTTGCACTGTGTGCTGGGATGTCGCCATGTTGGCAGAGTGTCACAGCTCCCGCAAGCCCCGGCAATGGCACACAACCGTAGCATGCTGTGGAGCCATAGCAGATATCCCCAATGCAAACAACCCTAAACCCCAAATCAGCCTGCTCCCTAAACCCTAAACCGCAAACCCTCTCTAAACCCTAAAGCAAAGCAGCCCCAGAGGAACCTCCTCTGCAACCCGATCGTGGGTCGAGCTGCCGACCGTTTCGGCCGACGACCTGTGATCATCCTGGCAGCCGCATGGCTCGTTGAGTTGGTCGGTAATAGGGTTTAGGGTTTAGGGTTTAGGGTTTAGGGTTCAGGGTTTAGGGTTCAGGGTTTAGGGTTTAGGGTCTATAGATACATACATATACACGCAAGTACATGAATACGTAAATAGAAGACAAAATCAAGAAGCAAACAACACAAAAAATCAACAACTAGTTGAATATTAAACAGAGAGAGAGAGAGAGAGAGAGACAGAGAGAGAGAGAGAGAGACATACATATATATATATATATATGTATGTATATGAACCCACGCACCCGCATCTTTTTGGCAAGGATGTTGTGGGCTGTGTAGGCTTTCTCAAGCTTCCTGGGAAGGAGGGCTTTTGGTATGGTTGTTGCCAGGGCATGGTGTCCAAATCCGGACGTCTTATCTGTCACCTTGGGCTTTGCCTAAAGCCTAAACCCAGCGAAGTGGGTGGTAAAAAACCCTAAACCCCAAACCCTCAACCCTAAACCCTAAACCCCACGGCGGCAAGGGGCACCCTTCCCCTTTACGTCGCAGCGCCTCTGACCTCAGACGTCAGGGCTCCGGCGTGTCCAAAGCGGGTTGCAACTCCGGGCTTCCAAACGGAATCGCCTTGGATGATTGTGCCCCTAAACCCCTAAACCCTAAACCCCCTAAACCCCTAAACCCTAAACCCTAAACCCTGCTTGAAGCGTTGGCTCAACTGCAGTTCTTAGCCCGGAAAGTTTGGATGGGTAGATGCAGCTACATCTGGGGATTATACAACTCAGTGATTCAGTGATTCAAGCTAGATAGATAAAGTCTCGGTTGTTAACCCTTCAAGAAACCACAGAAGCCCAACCTGAAGAGCCGGCAGTAGTTGCACATGAATACTGTGTCATTATTTTACGGCCACATATACATGTGTATATAAATATATTAATATACATATCTCTACATACATATGGATGTATGTATACATATATACATATACACATAGTTACATACATACATCATAAATGTGTAAATACTGACATGCATGCATACATATCTATGGTTCTGACTTCTGAACTGCGCTCTGAACCCCAAACCCCGTCGTGAGAGCGTCACACCCTGCAAAAGCTTTCAGGCCTCTCCAGGAAGCACTCGAGCAGGCCTTTGGTCTCCTCTGATCTTCTCCCCCGAAGCCCTAAACACGCAGACGCGCGCCGTGCCCGGGACGTGGGAATCGAAACCTCCAAAACCCTGAAGCTCCGCATATTTTGGGAGCTTGGTCCCAGCTGTGAGTCGACTCGGGAGCCATGGCGGTGGCGAGTCCCGGCCTCTGGGCCACTGGTGCCCAAGCCCTTGAAACGGCTTCCGTGTCTATGGCCGACCCGCTGGTTCAGCAGCAGGCAGCCTATGGGTTGGGCCATTGGGGTTCCTTTAGGGCTTGACACGAGTCTCTAGGTGATAGGGGGTTTAGAGGGTATTCAAAGGTCTCAAAGCTTCAGGGCTTGGAATTCAGGGACTTAGCGTTGAGGATGCATGGGGCTTTTCAGCTTTGGTTTAGAGCATCTACCAAAACCTCACCCTCTCCACAGCCCCGACCCCTTGCTGCCGCCGCCAGGCTGCAGAGGGCGCCGTGCTCCGAGCGCAGGCCGCCTTCGTGGCGTACCCGCTGGACGTTTTGAAGACGCAGGCTTCCGCGAAAGAGAGAGAGGGCTCTCCTTCGGGACAGTGTGTTCTGTAGATGTATGCGCCCCCCCCACACAAACACACGTACATACATGTATACGTACATACATACGTATGTACATAGGTACGTACATGCATGCATTCACACACACACATATATAAATATATATACACATATGTAGACGTATATATATATATATATGTGTGTGCGTGTGTGTGTGTGTGTGTGTGCATGCATGTATTTTACATATGTAAGTGTATGTCCATGTCTTTGTGTATGTGTACGTATATGTACATGTATACTGTACGTATGTATATATATATATGTATAGAGTACATATGTATATATATATATATATGTACATGTATATGTACTGCATGTATATATAAATGTATATGTACTGCATCTGTTGATGAAATGTGTGTGTGTGCACATGTATATACATATATATATATATATATGCACAGCTCTCTCTCTCTCTCTCTCTTTCTCTATGTACATACATACATACATACATACATACATATGCACACACACATTTATAAGCAACTACATATATGTACACCTGTGTATTTGTATATGCATGCATGCATACATGTATGTATGTATGTATGTATGTATGTATGTATGTATGTATGTATGTATGTATGTATGTATGTACCTATGTATGTGTGTATTCATGTATGCATGTATGTATGTCTCTCCCTCTAC